TAAAAAATCAATAAATTTTCATAATAGCCACAAAACCAGATCAAAAACACAAAAAAAAATATATAAAAAATCATTATTTTAAGACGGCGCACGAACTTTTTCCTCAACCTAATACTTGGAAGCATTAACTTACATTTATAGTTGATTACTAGTTTTTCGAGATAAAGCAGCATTTTGCTCATTTCAATTAGCGCTCAAAATTCTATTAGTATTTTCTTCGTTCAGTATTGTTTTGAAATAAACTTTAACAATTTTCCTGAATACTTTTTAATCTATTAGTTGATTAAGATTTACAAGAATTTGGAAAAAATTTATGGTAACTAATTAATATTAATCAACAAACAAATTTGATTGCTAATTGCATTCCGTGTCGTAAAGATGATGGTATACATGACGACCGTGATCATAGCTTTACTCTAATATAGTTGCTTGCTCTTCTAAAACTCTCACAAATCGGCCTGTTTTTCTGATCCAAAGGATCTTACTAGGTGAAATATTATTGATTTAGCAAATAGTGTAGAATAAGCACTCGCATTCTTTGGGATATATTTCTGCTGAAAAAATATCTCGTAGAATCCTGAACGGAAAGTTTATCGAGAAATAGATTTTTCAGCAGAAAACAAATTTTGCGTATTTTGAAAAAAAGTTTCGCCGTGAATTAATGGTTTCCGCAGAAAAATTGAAATTACCAACGAAAAAATATTTTCCCACAGGAACTTGTGGAATCATGCTTAGTCTTTTTCACTGGGATATAGCATCAGTTTTATGGTATCTTAGTTTCGCCCGATATTATCCGGAAGCACTACGTCAAACAACTTCGTCATTTTTAAATTCTTCTACTGCTGCTGCGGATTATTCAGATGCTTCACACACTTTTTCATAGTTTACATTTGTTAAATTTGTTCACAAAAATCTCCGAACGGTGGATCTCGAATTGATTTCCATAGATCCATTCAGTTGGCAAAGAGTACGGCTGTTAATGTTTCAATTTTGTTTGCAGCTAAATTTATTTTATTTCAGTTTGTAATTTATTTACAATAACTTATTGAAAATAAACTGAAATTGAAATAAAATGAATTTAGCTGCAAACAAAATTGAAACATTTATTGTAAAAGTCCTACCATTTACCCAATAAAGTATGGCTGTTGTTGGTGACTGTTGTCTAAGTGATTTCAAGTGATTTCTGATTTCAGTTGATTTCAAAGTTTAGACAACAGCTGCTTCCATCTTATTTCAGGTCTCCAACTCATTTCGTTCTTGAGATATTGAATTTTTAACTATTCCATTGATTCAGCCTTTGGTACGTTCACAATAGAAACGCTGCAGAATAGTTGTTAGTTATGCACAAAAACTATTGAAACTATCAAAACTGAATGTTTTTTAACACCTTTTCCTAGTATACAAACAAAACTCTAACTGTAAGGTTTTTTGCGAATTATAGAATTTCTAGAGCTCCATCTAAAAACTGAGTTTTGCAGAATGTCAATATTATACAGTTCCGAAAATTTCAATAGCTTTTATCCAGAATTAACTGTTTTGCAGCGTTTTTATTCTGAACGTACCAAAGGCCAAATCAATGGACAAGTTAAAAATTCAGTAATTCAAGAACGGAAGGAGTTAAAGACCTGAAAAGTTTTATTATCGTTGCTTTCAAATCATCAGTACCGATACAAATATGTGGATTGTGCCGACAACATAAAAGCGTTACGAAGACCAGTCACGCGAAAGTTTACTGAATGGATGTTTACCCGGGCCGCTTAGTCCATTAGATACATACATTTCACAGAGAAAAGTGTCTCCATCATCATCCGTAGCGACAACATTGGATACATCGCCGAGCGACAGCGGTCAAAACATTTCATCGAAACGTCTAATATTTAATCGTGAACGAGTTAATCTTGAATCGCATAAGTTAGTATGGTTAGATGAGGACAATCAATTCACTCTTGAATTTTTAAGAACAATTGTTGATTATACCAAAGTATTTGATAATATTGAAGAATGTCAACAATACATTGAACAAACAAATGGAACAACAACGACATTTCTGGTTTGTTCTGCTGGACTAGGAGAAAGGCTTTTACCACAAATACATAATTTGAAAAATATTCTGTTTATTTATGTTTACTGCCATTACGATAAAGTGGAATATCACCAGCAGTGGACATCAACTTATTCAAACGTAAGTGCATTTCGGCTGTTAAGCATTACCAATATTTTATTTATGAATAACATCTTTCTATAACTTCAATTTGTTTCAGGTAAAATCGGTTTATACATCTCTTGAACTCTTATTAACTGAGTTGAGACAAAACGTTCGAGAATTTAAAAAATATGAAAAAACTACAGCAGTCTTTAGTGGGACCGGAAAAATAGATAATACAGTAGTTCTTACGCAGTCTTGATGGAGAAGCTTTATTGATCTTCTAATATTTTATTTGTCATATCCAAAAGATTATTATTTGAAACTTCTCAATGAATTAAAAGATTATTATAAGGGAAATGAGTCACAATTACGCATTTTAGAAGAATTTCAAGCAAACTATAAACCGGAAGATGCAATTCGATGGTATACAAAAGATACATTTGTCTATAGTATTCTGAATAAAGCACTACGCCAGCATAATATTGAAGCTATGTTTCTATTTGGATTCTACATACAAGATTTATATCGACAACTGGCAAAGGAACATAAAACATTCAAGTTAGCAAATTTAGAAAATTCGATAATTAAAGTTTATCGTGGCCAGATCATATCGCGTAGAGAAGTTATGAAAATCATATGGAATAATTCAAATGACGATGACTTTATATCTAAGATAATTAACAGTTTCTTTTCCACATCTCTCAATCATAATTTAGCATCATTTTACCTGAATCCATCATTGCAGCCTGACGATGAACTTCAGAGTGTTTTATTTGAAATTGATATTGATGTGCGTGAAGATTCTCGTCCATATGCTAACGTATCATATTTAAGTGAATTTGGTCAAGAAGAAGAAGTCTTATTCATGATCGGAACAAAATTCGTATCAACGAAAAGTATTTTGTACGCTGAAAAAGAAAAGCGTTGGATATTCGCAGTAGAATTGGCGGATGATTATTTTCATAGTAGTACAAAGATAGATACAGTGAAAAACTACGTTAAAAAACATTTAAGACATATGACCGATGAATCAGTTGAGGATATAAATAGTGTTTTTAATGGGTTGGTTAGTTTTTACCCATCGGAAAGATGGATTTTAGCTGTTAAATTTCATTCTCTAGCAAATTATTATCGAGGATGGAAAGGTAAAAACTATATTTCAGCAATATCGAATTACTGTTTGGCATTAGAAGTATTGCTAGAATGTATATGCGATGATGAATTAAACTGTACTATTGAAATCGGTGAAATTCATAACAAAATTGGATGGTGTTACAAATATGAGTTACAAGATTATAATATGGCTAAGAAACATTATGATCTGTCTATCAGTTATTATCAATCGGTAATTGAGAAATTAACTACAGAAGATGAAAAAATCAAGTTTGTGAATCTGTTGGAGGATATATACGAGATGAAGATGGATATCAGTATTGATGAAAATGAAAAATTAGAAAATGGTTTAATGCTGATAAAATACAAAGAACAAAATCTAGATTATCTTTTAAAATCGAATTTGAAAAATGTCGTTCGTGAAATCGAAGATATAGGGTTCGTTTATGAATCGATCTCTAAATATGATGATGCTTTACTTAATTATGTAAGAGCTTTCGAGATTTATGTGCAAAACAACTCATATTGGGTTATCATTTATAATATTTTGGTAAGAATTGTTAGCTTTATTATCGAAAAGAAAGGCGATCATCGCACAGCCCTTAAGTATCAATTGATAAAACATGAGTATATGATATTAAGGCATAATGAAGCACTAGAGAGGACCAATAATTGGCGTATAGGATCACGATTTAATAACTTGGCTAAGAGTCACGTCGAATTAGCTGATTATTATATAGAGTTACAAACATATAATCTGGCTCACGAACATTTGACAAAAGCATTAAAATTATATCAAGACATTAAATTGTATAACAAAAAAGAAGACACAATCAAAGAGCTTACAGAAAAAATCAAAACTGTACAACCGTTTTTAGAATAGAAAACAGTGAACCATGTGCAGACCCTTTATGGCGCTCTCCACACATCAGTTTGAGAGAATGACACTCGCGCTGATCTATCCTGTCACATAAACCGGAAATCTGAATATAAGACCTTCAGTTGGGCATCAATATACACGTCACATTTGATCGTACATCAAATAGGGTATGCTTTTAATGAAAATTTGACTTCGGACATGAGTATAGAATTTTTTATATTATGATCATTTGGAAAATTATATGGCGAAGAAGTTTCTGCAAAAAAGTTTTAACGAGTCTTACCACCTGCAGATTGTGGTTTTGATAAGTCCTAAAATCCGAAAAACGCTCCCGTGTCGAAAAAGGTTGAATATTTTTTCCCCTTCTTATTTTGAAACTTCCAAACGTTTCTTTTGGAATCCAGTGTTGAAAACTGAATTAGAAAATAGGCTCTTGATAGTTCCCCTATGCAATGTAACCACCCTCACCTTCACATCAACACAAACAAAAAACATTATCGTATTGAATGCATCAGCCACACAAATTGTCGCACTTGAACAACTCGTCCTCAAGCAAACAAAATACAAAATAAAGCTTCTCATGAACGAGATAAAGGGCCAGGACAAACGAAAGGCAATCAAAAAATGACTTGGGTCAGACTATGATCTAAGCGAAGACTATTGTTCAGAGCGCCTAAAAATTATGATTAAGTAATCTTATTTTCTATATTTTTCCGTGCACATAGTTAGGTTGCGATTGGGTCCTCTGTGATTCCAGTGTGCAATTTGAATTCGGCATGGGTGGAGTTCTGCTACTGACAAAATATAATTCATGAACTTCTAGGCGTCTTTCGAGTTTAAAGGCATTTTGTGCACTAACGTAATTACAGTTTGTCTATATTTGTAGGTATAATAACGGCAAGTTCATTAAAACTTTGATATATGACTATCTTTAAAAATCTGCAGGATGCGCTGGCTAAAATCTGCATGATTCTTAGCATTATGAATCTTACAAATGCAAGCCGGTCTTGTCTACAAAATATTGAAAACAATACGCTTCTATTGTTTGTCCTTCAAAACTTATTCAAAAACCGTTCATATTTTGAAACGGATATTAGTTAAATAATTCCGTCTGCTCAAAGCACGAAAAACGATGTTAATACAACGCTAAATAGTCGGTATCTAATGGTGTTTTAATGCGTTTAGTCCAATGATGATGATGTTTTTCTCTTTGATTTTGGCATTCGTAACAGAATTTTGAAAAACTAGTTTTTAAAGCATACACAAGTTCATAGCCATAAGTTCATAATTATTTAACAGTAATAATTACGATTGCTTACGTGTTGATATGCTTAATAATATGTTGAATCTAGAAAAATATTATTCTCTATCATTTGGTTAATAAACCCTATTGAAGAAATCACTGTCCATCACGAACTCCAGCAAATCAGATATTCAGAAGATAATTCTCAATTCTATACACGGGGTATGTTTTGTTCGTTTTCGCACTTAAATGAGACATAAATGTCCAATAATCCAGTCAGAAAAACATCTATTTACCCTTTTCCTCAAATTGCAACAATTGCAAAGAAAATCTCTACTTTATTTCGATTCAATAGATTATATTGACCCTTACACCAGTGACCGATGAGTAGTATTCAATTAATTCAACAAATATGTCGTCTACTTCTTTCTCAACTGCGGAAAAGAAGGATACATTTCAACGGATAAGATTTCAGAATAAAGAAGAAGATCGTATGACGCACATTTAAAGAGCCAATAAGTCATCACCTAGTTACCAATAAAACGGGACGCACGTATGGGATATTTCAACATTACCAAAAAAATGAGTGTGATTCCGCAAATTCCTGCGGGAAAAATGAAACATGTTTGCGCCGGAAGAGAAAATCTTGTGCTGGAAAAAAAACGCTTTTTCCGCTGCATTCTGCTGGAATCTTTTGAAAATCTGAATAACTCCGTTCTTTTCTTGGGGAGAATTTCCGCGGAGTTTAAGACATTCACGACGAAAAATCTCGGCAGATTTCTTCTCTTTTCCCAATGTAGAAGACTTCTGCAGAAATTTGTCATTCGTGACTGTCAAATTCATGAATGAAAAGATTTTCACGGTTGTCTTGCTTTTCATTTAATCTCTCATCATGCCGTCTACTTTTCTCATCTTATATGTTGTAGTCAGCCTCACTCTACTTAGTTTTCCCGCAGAAGACTTACTTTTTCCGCACAGTATTATACGCGGGATGTTTACCTTTTGCGCAGAGTTGACGAATAATCTTGAACTTTTGTAGGCTTGAACATGATACCTTCCAATTGCATGACAAACACTTTCCCATTAAGTCATCGCGAATATGCTACAATTAGATAGATTGTATATATGAGAGAAACCTAACTTTCTAGTACAATCACTTGTTTAGATATGTTTCTATAATAACTCAGGTTACAAGAGGCTACAGATTTTTTCCTGTGCTTTGCCTAGTGCTTTGCCCTCTTCCACAAAAATTTTCTACTCGATACATCCTTTGGTTGCAAAGTTATGGGACTCGAAAGTTGAAAAAACTTAATTTTCTGACGACTCATCATCTGAAAACTGAATTTTTGATTATATAAAAAGATATAATAAGAATAGGAAAGCAGCGCATACTGTAGAGAATTGAATTGTGAATCTAACCATATGATTAGTGTTCAACTTTGTTTACTTTTTTTTGTTGTTCTTTAGATATAATCATTTTACAAGCATCTTTTTCGTTTTTTGTAGACCGATCTTCTCTTACAGTTTTTCCGAAAAGTCCGCCACTGAAGAAATTTTTGGAGTGGCTAAATTGTAGATCAGACGTCGGTCTACAACTCTGTTTAAAGAAAATCCAGTTTGCATGATTTAGTAGAGATAAAAACAGCTTTCATTCTTGCAGAAGTCAATTTCCGCTCTAAATGTAGACCGACTTTTTGCAACTTGTTTTGCTCAGAAATAATGAAGCATTCATTCGTTCTCGATGAGACTTCTAGACTAGATAGAGCATCAAAAGTTGTACTAGCAGAAGTAATTTCACATCGAATCCTCATTTTGTTCCTTACTATTTTTACACATTATAGGGGAAAATGTAGACCGACTTTTGTTTTTAACTAAATGTAGACCAACCTTTTTTCGTGAGACTTTTACTCAAAGCTAAACGAAAACCATCAATACTGTACACCAGTTGACTTCTCAGATTGCGGCGAGTTTGACTACCTAATGTTTGGAGCTCTAAAATCTATAGTCTTTGCTAAAAATAATCGATAATTCTGAAAGTGGAATCACATAACGAAATTCGGACTTTTTAGATTTTAACGCTAAAGAATCAAAAAAACTGAACTTGAAATATTCAGGTCCAGAAATAACATGATGTCTGGCGCCCCGTAGAGCCGAAAGTGTTTTCCAGGTCTGGACAACTTTTGCTCGAGTCAAAACGTCAAAAGACCCATTTTTCGCACCGTTTTTGCAACAAAAACGCCATTCGACGGGTTTTTTCTGCGGTTTTTCGGGTTGACGCATTTGCTCACAGTCCCACTGTAGTGTTCGAATCATTCTCTGTCGAACGATGTAGAATACATCTATTTCAACCCTTTTTCTAGCAAAATCCTGCCAAAAATTCTCTATAGCAAAAACTGAAAATTGTCTCCCTCCTAACTCAGCCAGTATGAGTTTTAGTTTTTTTAAATTTTATAGAATACTTGACAAAGACAGGGGAACAAAACGTACCATTCAAATTCTTTTTATGAACACTTTCAACTTACGTTTCTCTCATATATATCATCACGCGCATCCAGGAAAAAGAGAGAGAGAGAGAACGAACACAACAAAGAGATGATGATATGCAATCGAAAGATATTACATCAAAGAAAGGATAATCTCGAATGACGAAAGGAATGATATCACGTCCATGGAAGGGAAAGAAAGATGAAAGAAAAGAGAAGACACGTTGTAAAGGTCGAGCCCGTAACAATACGATATTAATTGCAATTTTGACTGGTCAAATTCACAATTTTGCCACATCACATATATAGAAAAAGTATTTCTGATGCAAAAACAAAAATAGAAAAGTGCACAAAGAATGAAGGACAAAATGTTCTAAATAATGTATTAATTGATAGATGTATAATTTTAAAAATATTTTTATTTTTTAACAAATTTACCAGTTTGAATATTTACTAATCTGTAATCACTGTCATCTTTTCTAAAATATTTTGAATTTACACCAATTGTTCTTCTAACATCAACTTCATAACGTTGTGTATGTTTATTTTTTAACCAACCATATTGTTCAGAATTATTTGGAAGACTATTTTGTACACGTAAAATATTAATTGGTTTATTGTCACTTTTATCTTGTGCATATTTATTTAATATTTCTTTTGATCTTTCATCTGCTACTTTCATATCAATTTTATATTTATTATCTTTTGAATCTGCAGGATCATCTGACCTTGTACTTCCTGTTGGTCCAATTTTTAAATTATTTGAATGCCATGATACTGCTTTTAAAAAATGTCGAGTCACTTCTCCGTTATCATTATTTATTTGACATGTTTTATCTAATCCAGTACTTCTAACAAATATTTCTCTTCCAGTTTTATTATTTTCATGATTTAAATAATTATTAAATTCTTTTACAAGTTCCGCTTTTTTACCTTTATATTCTTTAATAAATTTTTGAAAATCTTTTCTTATTTCTTCTTCTGAAATCATATGATGTTTAGTTAGTTGAACTTCTTTTCCATCATTATCTTCTGCCCTAACTAAATTAAATACTTTATCTGGTGCATCTTGTCGTTCATATGATGTAGAATTTACACGTGTAATTATGGCATTAATTTCATCTTTATTAAGGAATATCTTACCATTAATAAATTTTGCTCCTCCCATAATTAATGCATGTTTTTTATATTCTTCTAATCGTTTAATATCTTGTGTTTGATAAGCAAGATTTTCTTTATCATTTTCCATGTGTTTTATAGTATTTTGTCTTAAGTCATTTGGATCTTCTCCTGTTTGTGCTGCAACAACATTAAATAAACAATTATTTTTTCCTGAATAATTATTTCCCTCTGGTTCCTTTCCTCCAGGCAATGTCCAATGTCCTGATGGATTATTTTCATTTGGCTTACAATATTCAACTTCAATTGGTTTACCATCTTTACCTTCACCAATAATCCGTATGACATTTCCATTTTCATCTAATACTTTTATCGGTCGTCCAGCTGCTTCGCTTAATGCGCCTAAATGAGGTAATCCAGCTTCTCCATGATCTTTTAATTCATCTATAATTTTCTTTGCATTAGATGCAGCTTCTGGACCACTTTTTTTAAATCCATCTGGTATTCTATTAATTTCAATTTTATTTTGAAAAAATTCAATTCTTCTTTCTGCTTGAAAGGTAGCAATTTGATCTTGAAGACTTTTATCAATTCCTGCTGTTAAATTTTTCATTCCATAATTAATACCAATATTAGTAACAGGTGTAATTAATTTATTTTTAATAATATTACACATATTTGTAGATACACTAAGTGCCAAATATTTACGTAATTCTTCTGGAGTTTTGTTTTCTCGTTCGAATATCACTTTTTCTTCATTTTGTTCTCTATAAATATCAATATCTGTTTTGGATTTTTCTACAACAAAATCAGACGTATAACTACCATTTGTTTCTTCTTTTATCGTATTTTGTTTGTTAATAGTTCCGTTTTGTTGTACGTTTGTTTGTTCTTGTCGTTTTTTCTTGAGATCTTCAATTATTTCCTCAACTTTTTGCTCTTTATATATTTTTTCAATTTCTTTATTTAAACTATTAATAAAATTCGGTACAAATTTGTCTAATTCATTTAAAGCTAATCGTGCTTCATTAATTTGTAATACTGAAGATAATCCTGGTATTTTATTTGTTGCTATTCCCTTAGCAATACCTTCTGTTATGGTTAATAGAGCATGTTTTGAATCACTTTGTGGATTCAAAAGTTCCATTGCTTTATTTTTAATTAAACTTTGATAATAATTATTTCGATTTTGATCGTCTAATTTCAACATATTTTCAACATAACAATTTGTCAATAATGCATCTTGTATGGGCTTTTCAATTTTTTCCATAACTACATCTTGTATACTTGGCATCAAAGCTTTACTCACACCATAATCAACAAGCTGTGTTACTAAATCTTTGGCTATACCTTTAGCCAAAGATGTACCAATAGCTTTTGCCGCTATTTTGTATCCTTCTTTTACTGTTGCAGTAACTGCTGTAGTTGCTATTTGTGCAGCCTGTTTAACTCCTGCAATCGCAGTTTTAGCGGCATCTTTTATTGCTCCAAGTCCTGCACATACAATAGAGACAGTCAAACTAATCGCTTTCTGTACAGCATATGATGCCCAGCTAAAATCTCTATTAATAATACCATCTTTTACTGCTGTTATGAGATCGCTAACTCCTTCAGATATTAATCCCATACCGATGGAAGCACCGGCTCCAAGAGTAAATACTGCCAGTGCTCCTCCTACAATTATTTGAGCAAGACCAAGAAGCGCTAGACCAATTACCGATGACCAATCAATTGGTTTTATTTCTGTAATTTTAAAGTTTCCTCTAAAACCATTATTTTTATATTCACTTATTTCTTCTTTATATAATTCAATGTTTTGATCTTCGGGTAATGATTTTTCTATCTCTAGAAATTCAATTTCAATATTTCTGTTTTTATTTCTTGCCTCACCAATAGCTCCATCTCCTATTGTTTGTTTATTGTCTTTTAAAATTTTGATTTCATTATCGATTGCTTGAATATCATTTTGTGTTATATTTTCTTGTTTTTTTTGATTTTCTAATTCTTTTAATTCTTCATCAATACTTCCGACACCAATTGCCATTTCAATAGTATTTTTTTGTATTCCATAAAGTGTCATTTTATGTGAAACTTGTTCTGATAATACTTCTGAATTTGCTGCTTGTTGAATGATTTGTAACATTGGTTCTAAATTATCTTTTATTATTCGTTTAGCGTCTTTGAAATCATCAATTGCTCTGTCTATTTCGGTTTTATATTTGTTCATGTCACTACCATATTCAGCAATTCGTGCATATCCACGATTATAAAAAGCATTAACTTGAAAATGTTTATCAATTTCAATTGCTTTTCTAAATTCTTCAATTGCTTCATTATTTTTTTTCTCTCTTAATAAATCATTACCAATTAATACATAAAAATATGGATTTTCAATTAATTTATCATTTGTTTTATCTCTTAAAATTGTTTGTTTAAATTCAATTTCAAATTTCTTTAACATTTCTGTTTTTGTTGTTGTTTCTTCAATATTTTTTTCTTGTATTTTTAACCAAATACCAAATCTATCTTCAACTGCTCGAATTTTATTTTTAATATGTGGAATATCTGTCTGATCAATTTCAGTTAATAATTTACAAAATTCTGCAAATATTGCATCTTTGATAGTTACTCTTTCAATTTCTGTTTCAGCTTTATGAATTCCACCTTCTTCTTGTTCGTTTCGAATTTGTTTTAATATTTCAAAATCATTTTCTATCGTTTCTAATAAAATAAACTGACCAGTTCCTTTATTTCCTGTTCTTGATGTTCTTCCAACATTTTGTTGTTCAACTCTTTCATTTGGTGGTAAAAATGTAACACACACATGTAATCCACCATTTTTTTCAATTTTCTCAGCTCGTATATCAGTTCCTCTACCCGCAATATTTGTTGCAATAATTATTTCACCAGGTTTTAATTCTTCTTTAATTATTTTTGAATCGATTTCTGTTCTATAAATTTTTATTTTTGTTTTATCATATCCTGCTGTTATTAATCTATTTTTAATTTCATCAACTTCTTTTATATATTTTGTAATAATTAAAACTCCTCGACCATTAATCAATTTATTTATTGAACTTTCAACAATATTTGTATACCAATCTTCTTCATTCTTTGTAATTATTGGCATTAATTCTTCATATTGTTTCTGTCTAAATGGTGGAATAATTACACTATCAACATTGTATGTTTTATTCAATAATTCTCGTGCTTTTACACTTCCAAGTGTTCCTGTTAAACCATAAATATTATGACCATAACGTCTAAAATATGTTACATTTGAAATAAAATTTGTTGTTAAACTTTCTGCAGTTATTTTTGCACCATGTTTTATTTGTAAAAATTGATGTAATCCATTATTCCAATGCATATTTTGTTGCACAATTCCAGTATTATTTGCATCCACAGGTGCAATTTTTCCATTTTTAACAATATAATGTTGTTCATTTTTACATCGATATTTTGCATGAATGGCACTATCAACCCATTTTGTTAACTGAACATCGGTTACCAATGCTCGTAAATGTTTGGGAATTTTTATTTCCGGATATTCATTAGGAATTATTTTATTATCATCCGGTAAATTTTTTATATCTCGAAGTAATTTTCTTATATGTGTTATGGTACAATTTTTTATAAATTCTTCTTTTGTTTCTTTGATAAAGAAAGCTTTTTCAATAATGTCAGATTTTATTGGTTGACCATCTTTGTCAATTCTATTTTCCTGCTCTATATAATAATCTTTGCCATCGATTTCTCTAATTGATTTAGCAGTTTCGCCTATCTGTATCCATATTGATGCTAAAATTGATTCTAAATGATCCATTGCCGGCATTGGTGTTGACAACATAACAATATGATTTTTACCATCAATTAACATTGAATCGACTTCATCAACAATAGCAACATCACATTTTCTACCAGAACGCGTACCCAATTTACTATATTCATCTCGTAAAATATCTCCTTGAAAATCACTTGCTGCTCCATAAACAATATCAGCTTGATATTGTTCTTTTATTTCTGTTTCACATTTTCCATTATGTGATACTGTCAAACCAAAGTGATCATAAAAATTTTCCTGTTGTTCTGCTTGTGGTTTAGCTAATTCTGGTGAACTTGTAACAATATCAACCTTATGTCCTTCAAGAGCTTTAATTGCAGCTAACATAGCAACAATTGTTGTTTTTCCTTCACCAGTATTAATTTGACAAAGACGTCCCATCTTATTTTCAGAATTCATCAATATTAACAATGATAATA